TGCAGTTGAAAATATGAAAAATTGTTGACTTTTCTGGATATGGTTGAGTCATCAACAATGACTTGAGCCTGGAGTACTTGGGTGGCCAGTGGTGTTGGGTTGCTGTGAGCATGTGCTATTCTTTATTATTGCAAATAATACTGAAGGTTTACAATATATGTTGTATGGTGCTCCATTATTCTTATTAAGCCCAATGTTAACTTTTTTGTTCTGTGTGGAATCAATGCAGGTTGTATTTTTAGTCATGACAAGGTTCACTGGCAATTGACTTCAGTGTGCATACCTTTTGAAACCACTTTTGTTTGTTTGTTTTCAGATTAGAGAAATGAGCTTATCAAACAGCACGAATCCACGATGCTGGCGGTCTAGGCCAGTAGCCAGCTTCAGCTTCTGGTGATGGAAGGGGCCTTCGGCTGATGCAAGACAGCCCTGGCCCCTGCCAGCCTGCCCCGCCACTGGTGACGAGCGCTAGCGCGTCAGCGACCGCCCGAGCGACTCTGATCATCAAGCTGTGCAAGTAATGCTCTACCTGCTGATCTACCACCGAGGGCTCCGCGCCGGCCGCATCCGAAGGAGGATGCGCCATGTACTGCGCATCCGAGGAGACCTACTGGCCACTCGTGAGGCCTACAATCTGCATGACCATCGAGTACGTCCGAGGCGCTCTTTCTCCCAAGCCACCTGGGTATGGACGGACGGGCCGGCTGACGCAAGAGTCCGCAGCGGAGGGGCCGGGGCCTTGGCCAGCTCTGCACCAGCTAGAGCGCGGAGATGGCTGCGCTCCGCTCAGCCATCAGCGCGACCACCTGTGGCACCTGAGCGCCCCGGTCGTCTTTTGCACAGGCTCCCAGGCGGCGCTCGCGACACTGAGGGAGGGCCCAGCCACACAGAAAACCTCGATGGGCGCCGCCGTGTGGACGGGGCTGGCAGTCCTGTTCCGCCAATTCCACCTGCAATTGATGCCGTCCCATTCCGGCATAGATGGTAACAAGCGCGCCGACCAGGCCGCTAAGGAGCCTCGAGCGCGAGCCTCGAGCGCGGAGGCGGCCCCGCTCCCCCAGGCGACAGTCCCGGGGGATGTTGGCACTGCCCACCGCGCGGCCATCAGATTGGCTCGCCACTGTGCCACCGCCGCCTGGCCGGACAGTTGGTGCCAGTTTCTGATGGGGGGGGGGGGGGCTGCCTGCCGCCGCTAGCGGTTGCGGAGTACCGAGCATCGGCTGCCGATCTCTACCGGCTTCGTACGGGCCAGTGGTTGGGCTTCCGCCAGTATCTTCACTGTATAGAACAGAACCCTACTGACGAACGCCGCCAGCGCTCCGACATCGACTCCCCCCCCCCTCCCCCATCAACTATTCTTTCGGTGCCCGGCCCTCATATGACGGAGCCTCCGTCGATTCGGCACCGTCTTCCTGAGCCCCGAGGCGGTCCGTGAGCCGTGAGGACGAAGAGGTGGCGGCCCTGACGACCGCCGTGAGAAACCTCGAGAGCTGTACCATTACGCCGCGGTAGCGGCTGGAGGAAGCAACGACAACAACACTGAAGGTCACAGCCGCCGCGTGGTCCCGTGCGGCGGCGTGCTGGCTGATCGTAAAATGCCCACGCCGCGCGGCGGTCCTGGCAGTGGTGGACCGGGCTGTGGTCCAGTCGTAGCCCGACTAATGTTCAGATTGGCGAGGTCTGCTAAATGCCGCCGCGCGCCGTCCGTGCTCCGTGACCGGGACCTCGTCCGCCCACTCCCTCGCCGAGCTGACTGATACGCCGATGATACTGCCACCCTCAGCGCCGGCGCGACGATCCAGACAGCACTAGCTGCAGCTCAGCACTCGGCGGACCTCATGGTGGGGTGGGCGGCGCGCAACAAGATGACGATCGCCAGCCAGAAAACGCAGATAATGGTGTTGTCCCAATGGAGCCGGGACGCCAAAGATGCCGTCATCAAGGTATCGGACGTTCCTGTCCGTGCGACCTCCACCATCAAGCTGCTTGGGGTCACGTTTGTTTGACAGGCTGCTCCATTTTGGAGAGCACTGCACCAACCTCAAGAGGAAGGCTCGCCCTCGCACCACCCAGCTGCGCAAGCTCACAGGACACTCCTGGGGACTTCAGGAGCACCACCTACGCGCGGTGGCCAACGGCTACGTCCGCGGCGCCATCGAATATGCGGCGGCCGCGTGGCTCCCCGCAGCATCCCGCTCCCACCTGGAGCTGGTGGACCGGGAGCTGCGCGCAGCGGCCCGCGCCGTGACGGGGTGCCCCAGGTCAGCGCCGACCCACGCTCTCATGGCGGAGGCCGGCCTGCCCACCGCGGAAATGCGACGCGCCACCCTCGCGACGAGGTTGCTGGCGCGCGCATCCGCACTACCCGCCGGAGATCCGCTCCGGGAGCTCGCCGAAGCCTCACGTCCCTGCCGACTCCGCAACATCACAGGATGGCGCGACGAGGGCAGACGGACGCTGGACGCCCTGGGCGTCACCGCCTCCCAGGTGGAACCCATGGTCGTTGCACAGCTCCCTCCGTGGACCTCAAGTGAGGGGATCACGATTTCCTGTGCCGTTCCGCCCGACTGCGTCCGTAGCGCCGGCGACCAGGCTCGCCGCGCGGCAGCGGAGGCCATGCTGGCCGACCTCCCCGGAGCAGAGCGGGCGACGTGGGTGTGGTCTGACGGCTTGGCGGAGGGAGGCACCGTGCGAGGAGGGGGCGGCGCCCTGATCGTCCTCCCCGCCGGAGCCGAGTGGACGGTCAAGACCCCCGCCGGCGCCCTATGCTCCAGCACCAGAGCTGAGCTGGTGGCCCTCCGTGCTGCCCTGGAGGAGATTGCCGAATCAGACCTCACACCGGACCAGGACACTCACCCGGACACCATCATCGTCTGCCTCGACTCCAGGGCGGCACAACAGACAGTGGATGCGGGACCGGCGGCGCAGACGAGCCAGCTAGGCGACGCTATCTGGCGGCTCCTAATGCAGCTGGCCAACCGCGGTCGCCGTCTCCACCTCCAGTGGGTCCCGGCCCACTGTGGTCTGCCGGGCAACGAGCGGGCCGACATGCTGGCGATGGAGGCCGCCGAACTCGAGCAGACCAACGCCCCCTCCCCCCCTGGATGTCAAGAGCATCACCCGCGCCGCCGCCAGGTCTGCGCGCCGATCATGGCAGGAGAGCCTGCCCGGCGGCTGGTACCGCTCTATCTTCCCGGATCGGACCCTGCCTGCACCGGTGCGACTCGACAGCAGAGAGGCAGCGGTGGATATTCACCAGCTACGGGCCGGCCACTGGAGCGTATCAACACAGTACCTCCACCGCATCGGCCGCCTGCCGACCCCCGACTGCCCCGGCTGCATGGACACCGCCTGCCCTGCCGCTCGGTGTCTAGTGTGCGGGGAGGAGGCGGACACCCCGCAGCACGTCTTGCTGCGCTGCCCGTGCCTGTGCGGGGCCCACCTGTGGCTGGCGCGATGTCTGCCCCGATATGCTGATTACTCGACGTGCCCCGCTCCTCGATGGAGCATGTATGGACTGCCTCATTGCCGACTACTGGCAATCCTTGAGTCCTAATTGTCCCCTAGACAGAGGGCTGCCGTTGGGGACCGGGGTCGCGTTATACTCCTGCTGCTAAATTAACAGGCCACAGGGTTACTCTTAAAATGGAGTGGTTGCTGGATAGCGTAGGACATATCGGGCTTAAATAATATTTATGAGATCTGCGCTAGGAGCAACATTTTTACTCGTGCCAACAATCATTCGATGCGTCAGGTACAATTATGTTGTTGACTGAATTGAATGTGTGTAAGGATATGTATGAGTTGTACTCGTAATTTTATTGTGTCCTGTATTTGTTCATGAGTTGTGTGAGGGTCAGTGAACTCTCTCCTGCGTGGCCTTAGTGATCCGAACCGGGTTTTTGACGTTCAATAAACGACCGATGATCTATATCGATTTATTTCTACTTGTGAAACTGTGTCACATTACCTGCGTATAATAAATGCAGTGTGAAGAGACATGGTTTGCTCGAATGAGTATTAAACGGAGGCGTGGGTTGCGCTCGCTATCTTCAATCATTGGCTGACTGATCCTAGTTTGGTTATTGTGAGGACATTGCTTAAGACTTCCTGGATTTCTGAAACATTTCTGATTTCCCGATCGGAAAATGTTAATGTTTCGCCACTGGTTTCAATGGAGTATACACGAGTTCACAAATGGAGTTCGGGTACGCGGCGCTTCACCGTAGGAATCACAACAGTTTCCTTTTCGTCATATATTCTAAAATCGAAACCTTCCCAAGAATCAAACCGTTTGGAGTCATGGCGTAGCAATATCTTCGGGCTATGTATAGGTATTGTAGATGTTCTTCGCGACCGGTGCTTATCCAAACTCCGGCTTTCAATCAGAAATGAAGTTGCGAATGCACATCAAAATAGATAAAGGACTAAAATATCGACTCTTCTTATTATGAAAGTAATAATCTGTTACTTAATCTCAATAGTAGTTCAAGCATTCGGATCCATTCTTGTGGCATGTCATGATAGTAGGTATTATTTACTAGCCACGACTAAACATGGAAAAAAGTGAACCAAGGCATCCCCAAAGTCTGATCTAAAATTATTTTTATTATTTTTATTCTTTTAGAATGTAGATAATAAAAATTGTAAATGTGGTGAAGTAAAAAGAAAATTATCTATATGTCAATTTAAATAAACAACTCAAGAAATCCAACACTTCTAACTCCATTTCCCAAAAATATAATTTACTAGCCACGACTTACTCCGTACAGTAAGAAAAACAAGGTGTACCCGTAGATGACGCAGTTCAAAAGCAGCAAACACATAATCAGTTGGCGCTGTTTTCCCGTTGAAAATGCTCACGGTGCCCGCCTGGCTAAAGTTAACTTTCCGGAAGACTGTGGGACACCAAAAGAAAAAGACGAAAAACTCTGCGTCGCAAATGAAACTAGAGCGTTGATTATGTCCCAAAATAGTAGTACTCTATTTTCTCATTGAATGGCACTCATATTGCTGCTTGAAACAAATTGCTTTGACATTTTAGCGAGGAGTGATTTTAAGCGAAAGAAACTTGTTTCATCATGGATAAGAAAGATACAGAGTGATATTTCAAAGGCTATTTACTGAAAACCTGTTTCATATTTTCCTGAAATGTCGATAAATACAAGGTACTTGAAAATCCATTCAGACATCAATTTCTTCTCATCTCTATCAAGAATTCTAAGTTTTACTTTAAGCGACAATTTCTTTCTTGTTTAATCTTCATTTTTATGTGTTGTGATCCGTTTGATGATTTAAGATATTCTATAAAATAACGAGTAAGTTTTGAAACATACTGACTGCCATTTATGCTCTCTTTCTCGCTCTCTTCTCAATTACAAGCTCAATTACAAAAATGGCGCATTAATCATGCGGCGGCTAGTGTTATTTTCGCTCTCTCACACAGCACATGTGTGGTCGTATGTTAGTGGTGAAATACGTATATTGTATCGCATAAAATCGTTTGTTATCGGTAATTAGGCTAGTACCAGACAATTTCTAGCATTTACCACGCATTTACATATTATAAGTTGTGTTTTTTACGAAGCATCGGAAGCATTTAGTAGCGATGTCCGACGACGACTGGGGTGAGAGCTTTACCCATTCCATACTTAATTGTAGTTGGCATTAATGCTTCGATAGTGATAGCGATGTATTAATTAGCACTCGTGTAAATGATCCTTCAACCATGTATCATTGGCGGTTGGATGATGCACTATTTATATGACTTGGGATTGGGCATTGGCATGGTACTGCCCTGATGCACCTCGTGCCATATGTTCATGGCTCATGATCATGAATCATGATTCAAGATTATAGTAGGATGGCAGGTGTGCCTGATCCAAAATCAGTGCTGATTATAATTTAAATATTTTATGTGTTCCTCATGTTTTAATATTATATTTTCAGAGTCAGAAAACTTCAAGCCTCCAACTGCTCTGGGTACAACCACAGGAGACAAGTGGGAAGGCGAGGACGAAGAAGAGGATGCCCCTGTGAGTACACTTACTCAAATTACTACTTTTTGATCCCTTTGAGGCTCAGTTTTTCACTTCTTGAAAAATGTTGGTGTGATTTCAAACGGACTGCGCTTTTGGACCATTCCTGACCTGATGTGATCAGTGGTGCTGTGAGGTGCTGGCTTTACAGGTCACTTGATATGTTGAGTGGTATGCTGAGCTTAGTCAGGAACCAGCCTAGTTGCAAATGATTTCCTCCTTTTTCATCCTTTAAAAACTAAAGAAATTAACAAAAATAGAAAGAACACATCCTTCTAAGTGTGGTTTTTATTCAATATTGAGCCTAGGATATAAAGGGGCAATGTCACCCAGTTCCAAGACAATGGAGTATGGTGCTAGGTCCCATAGCCACCAGAGAACATGCTCATGGTTGGATCAAATGGGCACAAAATGACCTTGGTCAGCATGCCCTAAAGCGCCCCAATAAACAAATAAATGTTCATGGTTGGATCGTGCCATGAATGCTTGCATCTTAGTTGGGGATGCATAAGGAAAAAAACGAACTCAACTTCCTGAGCTGCTCAAGAAGTTGATCCCAGCACTAAAAAAAATTCAGCCCTGACATCAGAGGCGATCAAGAGCTTAATTATGTGAGGCAAGGTTTCTCATAGGCTTCCATGTTTTGGGGATTATGATCCGTACACGTTTTACAAAAACAAGCCTGAACACTTTCATGAGTGTCAGCCGTCAGGCAGCAAGGAAGTGCCTGAGGAAGAGCACAAATGCTGTAAATTGACCAACTTTTTTTTTTTTTGCTGTAGGCTATAATTTTTACAGATGCTCATGAAGATCGGCATTCTCATATCCACTGTTCTCATATCTGGTTCCAAAACGCACGCATAGAAATAATTTGGAATGCTTCACATGTTAAAGGGACCATCCCACCTTAACATTAGTTTTGAGTTGAGATAGCCAAGTTTGCGGCCAGGCTCAGAAACCACCATTTATCCTGGTCGCAACCCCCGCAGCTTTATGGTGTTCAAGAAATTTCTTCCCTTTACTTGCAGGGTGGGACCAGCTTAGTCCCTATCTCTTAACCATTAGCGGTTTTTTGATGACGTCAGCAGTCATTTCAACGCCCGCCATTCCTTGAACCCGAGTTTTGCTGACCTTGAGCTCCCTTTTTTATCAACGTGAGAAATCCGTCGTCGGCGCTGAGAAAGCCTATTGCTTTTCATATTAATTTGAATATTAGAAGATACCCACCACTGGAACTTGGACTGATATTATACCAAGGCCGAAGATGATCAAGCTGCCTGCTATATCTGGAGCTTGGTGTTCAGCTTCAACATGGAATAAAAAACAAAATATCAAAGCAAACTGGATATGGTACTGCAAGTTAAAGTCCAAAGAAATTTGAAGAGCTGACAATTGACATTAATTCTTTTCCTGCAAGGTTTCCATATGGAGATCACACCATGAAGAAATATTTTTGATGTTAACAGTTGAAAGGGGATTGATCTTCCAGCTTTGACGAAAGACGCTGCTGACTGTCTTTGGAAAAGGAAGTCGGCATGAGGTGCAATTGTGCTTGTGAAGTGGTTATAACTGGTCTTTTCACAGTATTAAATTAAATGTGCCATTGCAGCCAAGTGTGTTATTATGTAAGGTAAAATCAAAACTACAATGTTGGTTTTACGCGCATTGAGAAGGCTGGTAGGTAACACCTGCCTGTGCTCGTAAATCATGCTGCCAAAGTATTCTAAATTAATTTTATCATACACTTTTGTTGTCCAGAATGGTTGCACTATTGTTTGGTATCATATTATTCCATGTAAATATGGTAGTGTAAAGTCGGACCAACATGTTACCAGATTTGAAGCTGTTACATTACCTAAGTACCTGTTTTTTACTGGCGTGGTGAATGTCGCCTGGATTTTGTTTTGAGGTGCAGACCTAGTAACTCTGACTACATGGGTTTGAAGCTGTTATCTATTCTGTTTTTACTGGCCTGGTGAATGGCGACTGATGTTGTCCGTGGATGGCACTGAAACAAATTTTGAGTGTCATGTACACTGTACAGTGTTTTAATACAATGCTGATGGCTGCAAATTGTCTTGTTTAGAGTGGTGAAAGTTCAGGATATGCCAGCCACCATGGTGGGTCAGAGTTAATGTGTTGCAGTCAGTTCGGCTTCGGCAAGCACACGAATGGGCATACGCATCAAGACCTGCTCTGCCATACTTTCAGCCAATTTTACCTAGGTAAGTCTTTTCTTTTTTCTGCCAAAAGCTATGACATTGTGAATTTCAGTGCTGTGGCCTGTGTGTAGCTTTCAGGAAAGCAATTCTAAATAAAGCTCTGATAAAGTGCAAAATCAGCAATGCAGCCCTCTATTACATTTTCTACAACATCTTACTTGTTCCTTGCATGGAGAGAAAAATGCAATGTTATGAATTCGTTTATTCACATAATTTGACAAGCATGCAGTTACCTGCTACTATCACTGCACAAAACAGAGCAGAAAACACCAGTTGATCAAACACAACATAAACACAGTTGATCAACACAACCACAAGACACAACAGAAGTTTACAACACAGGGCTGCCGAACCTGCTTCCTCCCACCACAGTTGATGCCATTTCCTAGCCTGGCTTGATGTGAGCACTGAATAGCTGCTTTGTCTAATTACAGCTCACTACCATTCAACTTAAACTACTCTCTTTAAAGTAAGAGTGAGAGCGTTCAGTGTTCATAGCAGCTCGAGAGACGACAGACAACAAACATCTTGACAAACCAACCAGTATTTGATTTGGCTAATGATTTATGTGCTTGTTGTATCATGGCAAAACTACTTTAACAGCAATAATCCCTGTTTCATCTTGATCTTGCTTTTATTTCCATTTTAACTCAGATCTTGAAACAATCATCTGAAGTGATCAGGGGCGGATCCAGGAAAACTCCAAGGGGAGGGTCATGAATCGAAGTGGTGCCCCTACCTATACCCAAAATTAAAAACTTAACGGATTTCGTCCACTTCATTTTGGTGGTGCCCCCATTTTCAGTTTTTTTTCTTTTCATTTTTTATTTTTAGTCAGTATCTTAACTCTTAGCCACAACCACATTTACCAATTGTAAGCAAGTATATATGAATGTGCTATGTGTATACATATATGTTGTGGACGCTGAGTAGTGAGTACTTACCAGGAACGTTATCAGGTAAGCAAATCGTTGTCAGTCCGACGAACTTGACCCTGGCGTCTAAAGGGTCTGTCCTTGACACTTCAGGCTTGTCAGGGGCACCAAAGTCCTTCCAGGGACACCACAAACCTGTCAGGGGCACCTACGGCCTTGTAGGGGCGCCACAGGCCCGCCAGGGGCACCACAGGTCTAGCAAGTATACACGACAGGCCTGTCAGGGGCACAACGGGCCTGTTGGGCCCATGAGTACCCCTAGGGGCAGGGGCACCACAGTCCTTCCAGGGGCACCGCAGGCCTGTGAGGGGCACCAGCGGCCTAGCAGGGGCACCAGTCAACACAGGTCTGCCAGGGGCGCCACAGACCTGCCAGGGGCACCACAGACCTGCCAGGGGCACCAGAGGTCTGCCAGGGGCACTACCGGCCTCGCAGGGGCACCTTGGGCCTGTCAGGGGCACCACGGGCCTGCCGAGGGGCACTTCAGACTTTTCAGGGGCACCAGTCCTCTCCGGGCGCAGGGGTACCAGCGGTCTAGCAAGGGCACCAGAGGCCTGCCAGGGGCACCAGCGGCCTAGCAAGGGCACCAGAGGCCTGTCAGGGGCACCACAGGCCTAACAAGGGCACCACGGGCCTGTCAGGGGCACCTCAGGCTTGTCAGGGCCCAGGGACACCACAGTCCTTCCAAGGTCACCGCAACCCTGTCAGGGGCACCAGAGGCCTGCCAGGGGCACCACAGGCCTGGCAAGGGCACCACTGGCCTGTCAGGGGCACCTCAGGCTTGTCAGGGCCCAGGGGCACCACAGTCCTTCCAGGGGCATTACAAGCCTGTCAGGGGCACCAGAGGCCTAGCAAGGGCACCACAGGCCTGCCATGGACACCACAGGCCTGCCAGGGGCACCACCGGCCTTGCAGGGGCGCCTCAGGCCTGTCAGGGGCACCACGTGCCTGCCGGGGACACTTCAGGCTTGTCAGGGGCGTTACAGTCCTGTCAGGGCCCAGGGGCACCAGGCCCGTGGTGTCCCTGCTAGGCCTGTGGTGCCCCTGGCGGTCCTGTGGTGCCCCTGTCAGGACTGTGATACCCCTGATAGGCCGGTGGTGCCCCTGGCAGGTCTTTGGGCCCCCGGGCCTCAAGGGGAGGGGCCATGACCCATGTGACCCCCCCCTTGGATCCGCCCCTGGAAGTGATATCAGATACTGGCTTCTGTTTCTCTTGAAAGCAAGTTAAAACAACAATGATAAACGAAGGCAGGAGATGTGAGTTGTGGCAGTAGAGTTTTGATTCAACATATGTCAACCTATTGCTTGAGACCTCTGTGACAGACAAACAAATATTTATAGTTTTTTGATAGTTTGGATTCTTGGCTTGATTTAGCAGATCAGCTGTGAACCTTGACTTTGAAATCACATAAATGTCATGGTACCCGAACGAATCCCCGCATGACATTTCTTCGTAGCACAATTTTTCGTCCGCATTTCTTCGTCTACAAATCTTCGTCAGTGCATTTATTTGTCCCTCAATGCTTACTCTTGCGTATATTTGCGTTGAAGAAGAAATGCGAGCCGATTTTCATATACCCTGATGCGAGACAAAGTAATGCGATACGAATAAATGCCCTGACGAAGATTTGCAGACGAAGAATTGCGATACGAAGAAATGCCATAAGAAGAATTGTCCTGGAATCCTTTAATATATTGACCTTGATAAGATAAACGCATCATTCGCGCAATATTTGTCGCACTTTGATACCAAACTATTGCTTCCAAATGCCGACGTAAAGAAAACCTTTATGTGACGTCATAGAAGCAGCGGAGTTCCCAAAAAGTAAACAAAAATAAA